AGAACCACATCAACACCCAATTCATCCTCCCACACTCAGGGTGGATTTACCTAGGTTTGATGGTTCACAACCAAGGACCTGGATATTTAAATGCAACAACTAATTCAAAATAGTCCCAATGTCATTGATAGACAAAATGTAATATTGGCCTCCCTTGCATTTTGATGGAAAAGAAGCACAATGATACCAAAATTTCAGTGCAAATCAAGTTGAATTTTCCTTATAACAATTTGTGGAAATGGTTTTTGATAGGTTTGAAGAATTGAGGGAGTAAGATTATTAGAGTTTAATAAAATGAGGCTAATTGGGTAATATGATGAATATGTGGACAAATTTGAGGAACTTAAAGCTTGTATGCAAATTGTAAACAACTATTCTGAACAATACTTTGTGGCAAGTTTCATTAGTGGGTTAGGGGAGGATCTGCAGGCTTTCATTAATATGTTTGGGCCTACTAACCTACATCATACCATAGATCTTGGGAGGAAACAGATTTTAGCACTTGAGGTTATAACAAATAAAATCAGGTTTAACCCTAAACTACCAATGAAAAATCAGAATAGTTACAAGAGATTTGAGCCAACAAACAAAACTCAACCTAATAGGCAAGTCCCAAACAGAAATGCAACTAAATTGCTTACCTCTGCTGAAATGGCAGTAAGGGAGATGAGCTTATGCTATAAGTGTGATGAAAAGGTCACTTATGGGTATAGGTGCAAAAACAGAATAAATAACATGATAATGACTGACAGTGAAGATGTTGCTTACCTGCAGGTTGAAGAAAAAGGAGAATCTTAGGCCGAACTAAGGAAATGTATGGATGAGGTGTAGACGTCCTTGAATGCCATTGCATGTGAAGATGGTATCACAAGGCCCATTATCTTGCTACATCACACGGATTTGATATATTTAGTAAAGAACATTAATATAGGAAAATGCTACAGTCTCGTCACGGAACCATTCCCTTATATCATATTCCAATAAGAAACTGTCACATCACATTTATTTGACTACATCTAAGAGACCATATCAAAACTAAAAAATCTAATAGCTTATATTAATTTGAGGGAATCATTCCCCACCAGACTGTAACATTTCCCATTAATATAATTATAAATAAAAATTGGAGTTAATATATGTGAATAGAAATTGTGGTAATTTTTCTCAAAACTAAAAACAAAAACATTCATCTAAACCTTACGAATACGAATCAAAGGCCCAATCCGATGACGTGTGTGGTGATCGGCCCACATCGCGTAACCCACGGCCCAAAACATGTCACACGTGGCCTGGGCCACCTCAAACCTGGCCCCGCACGAGCTAGGCGTTTTGACTCAGCCACGTTATTCTAAAAGCTAATCTTGTTTGTTTGTGTTTTCCAGAGATTCATTTGAGCTGTGGCTGAAGCAGTTGCACACAGGGCCCCGTTAGGGACGAGAGAGAGAGAGAAGAGAGAGAAACGCGGCGGTGACTGGTTGTTGATGGCAACCTTCGCCTCTTTTCTCTCTTGTTCTCCTCCTCCTCAGCCGCCTCCGCCGTCGTTTATTTCCTCCCGCCGATTTTTCCGGCCATCGTCTTTTTCCGCTTCCAAACCTGCTAGGAATTTGGGTAAATTGCTGCGTCTCGAAACCCGGGTTCTCGCTTTCTCCGGTTCGTCTTTCCCTGCTTCAGAGTTCAGCTCGGGAGATGAAAATTCGCCATCTGAGGTTGTTTCCTTTTTAATTAGCTCTTTAATTGGCTGGATATTTCGAGTTCTGTGTTCAGCACTTGAATTTCCTTTTGAATCCAATCAGTAGTTAAGTTTACATGCGATGCACAAATTCTTGTATGAATATACCATTTTGTTTATATTGTTTTTTAGAATGTAACATTTCAGTTTGAAAGTGTGCTTATATGTTCAAAAAATATGCTTAACAACAACCTTTTACTGAATTGGATGTAGAACTATCACATGGAGACTTTAAACTAATGGCTAAGTTCTTGCATAGTTGCAAATAATTCAGGGAGTCAACATATGATAGTTAGAAGGTTATATGAAAGGGGACTATAGATGCAAGAGAAGTTTGTGTTTGATATAAAAAAGCATGCAACCTAACTGGTTTATGTTCTATATTTCAGAAATCAAACCTCTATAATTTAGTTCAAGATATCGAGCCCTTGGATGTGAGCCTCATCCAAAAAGATGTTCCACAAACAACTATAGATGCAATGAAGCGGACAATTTCAGGAATGTTGGGTTTGCTACCATCTGACCAATTTCAAGTGATGGTTGAAGCTTTATGGGATCCGCTCTTCAAGCTGTTGATATCTTCAATGATGACAGGGTATCCAAATTATATTTTCATCATTTATTGTGCACAAGTCCGTTTAGTCTTATTTTATGGTGTTTTAATATATATCACGAGTTTATCGCTTCAATTTCATCTAAACCTCACTTATAATAAAATATAAGATGATGCAGAGAAAAAAGTAAAAAATTTCTTCAATGTGTGAACTTATAATAAACTGTTTCTATGCTGTCATGATTCACAAAATTGACCATTCACATAATTTGTCTCCTGAGAAGCTATTTATCCTTCATTTTTGTAGCCTACCATCAACCTACCAATTGTTTGGCATGAAGATTTCCATCCTTAGATTTTTTTCAGCTTCCTAGATACTTTTGTATGAAAGATAATACGAACACGAGTTGATTACTATGACTCTCTCTTGATTGCGTCTTATATTGTTCAGATACACATTAAGAAATGCAGAATACAGGCTCAGTCTTGAGAGGAATCTTGAGATATATGTAGGAGACAGTGATAATTCAAAACCTGGAGATTCTAAATGTAATACCGAGGAGGGACACCAGGGAAGAGGGAGTTCTAGACAAGATAGCTTGCCGACATCCAATGAAACTGGTGAAATGACATATGACATTCCAGATTTTGGTGAAATGACCGTTGAGGCCCGGCAGTATATTTTGAAACTGCATTCCCGTTTATCTTCGGTTAAAAAGGCATGTCCCTAGAACTTAGCTGAATATTAGTGACAGTTTTGTCCATTTTATTTCTACTGTTATACTGCTCAAGACATCTGTCTCCACTTGTTTATACATAATTGTAAAAGCGTAAGAGAATGAGAAAAATACTATGGTTGAACTCAGTTTCAATTCTATAAGGCGTAAAATGATGCTTTTGATTTCTTTTGAAGGCTTTTCCTGTTTTTGTGTTTTTCTGTTTTCTTGTGATTCATGAAGATTTTTCCGCATTACTATAGATTGA